AATCTCAAATGCTCGTCCACTCAGTACTGTATATGGCTCATACAGCCCAGGGAAGATCCATCCTGGATTGTATATATCTCTGACCGCAGTCACTCAGTACTGAGGAAGGCCAATCCAACCTGTGGAGAAGATCATCTCCAGACAATAACAATGATAACAACCTCACAACCACTCGGTACTGTATATGGCTCACAAGGCCCAAGGAAGATCCATCCCGGAATATATACACATCACAGACCATCGGTCTCCAGTACCGAGGAACAGGTGAACCAGTCTCATGGAGAAGATCCATCTCCATACCAAGGGAAGATCCATCCCTGAATACAATCAACTGCGCTCACTGCGGGTGTGTTACAGACTCCGGAGGCGCTCCTACAGCCCAAGCGCTATCATAACCATCAACATAACCGCTGTGGCGTGTAGCTGATAACTAGGGATTATGATGCATTTTATACTCCTTCTTGCTTAAGTTTTGATTAGAAATGTGTACAAAATAGTCCTAAAGGCTCACAAGTTGTGCTTGATTGCAGGTTTGATCAACAAGGTGACAAGGTGTCAAAAACCAGCACAAAAAGGAGTGAAACTTGCACAAGTACCAAGACAAGATCAAGCTCAGTCAAACAGGGCCAGTGCGGCCGCACACCATTATGTGCGGTCCGCAAAGAAGAAGTTCAGAGAGGATGCTTTTCAGGCCACAAGGCAATGCGGCCGCAAAGGGTTTTGTGCGGTCCGCATTGGGTTCATTGCGGCCGCACTCGATTTCGTACGGTCCGCAGAGCCAAGGTTCAGAGAGGTGGCATTTTGGAGGAACTGGCCAATGCGGTCTGCGATCCTTTTTGTGCGAACCGCAACAGAAGCCACCGCAGCCGCACTCGACTTTGTGCGGTCCACAAAAGCCAAGTTCAGAGAGCAGATTAATCAAACCAAGAGCCTTAGTACGACCGCACTCGATTTTGTGCGGTTCGCACTAGCCCCGCAGGGGTATTCTGTCAAGAATTTCCAGCCTAGTATAAATAGTTTCTTTTTTCATTTTTAGGTGATCAGATATATTTTGGGACAGAGCTGCGCTCGTGACTTCTTCTGTTTTACCATTTTGAGTAATTTTAGCTTGGTTTCAACATTGAATCTTCAAGTTTTATTTAGTAATTAATTATTATGGGTTTATCTTTATCTATTTCTTTGTTTTCTTCTCCAATTATGAGTAGCTAGACCCATTAGCTAGGGTTGTGGCTCAACCCTAGTGTGGATAATTGATGGGTCTTGTGTATTGATGCTTGATTGTCTATGAGTGTTTGTTATTTGGACTAATTTAGGGTTTTAATATTGAATTAGTGGTTGCAAACACTAGTTCATGCCTAGTAGATTTTGGCTCTTCTTGAGAAAGAGAGCATAAGTCCATGAAATTAGTCCAACAAAGAATTGTGGCGTATTCAAGAGATTGATAGCCCCAATTAGAAGGTTAAACCTAGAGATAGTAACACCCGACTTGAACTTTGATTGCTTGCACAAATTTGCATACCCAATTGGTCTTGAGAAAGTCAATTCGGGCAAAATCACTCGAATAACCGAGAGGTATAGAGTGAGTAGAATCGTGCAATGGTTATATCATACTCCCCAAATATGACAATCTAGCTTTAGATTCAAGAATCCGTCAATTGACCACCTAGGAGAAAGTCACTACCTTAGTGCCTTTTATCTATTTGATCAACTCTCAATAGTTTAATCTTAGCTTTACTTAGCCTAATTTAGCATTGTAGTATTATAAAATTAGAATTAATATCAAAACCAAAAATGTTCAGAAGTGCAAGTAGGAACAAATACACAACTCTCATTTAGATAGAAACTCAACTCCAATATCTAGCTCCTTGTGAAAATCGATCCCGACCTTCTCGGCTAAAAGCCGCATCGACCTCTTTTGCTACTTAATAGTAGTACAGGGTTGGCCTCGATTAGTAGCCCGATCCCATAACTGTCACTTACAATCAGGCTCTCGGCCTCACTCGCTCATCACTCTCCAGTCTCAATCACGAGCTCACAATGTCATGAAACTAGCCCGAAACAATGATATGATGTGCCAAATAATAATAACTGAGACTAAGACATGATATGATATGCATGAGCAAGACTAAGTATAGAATATCAATGAATGTAATGAGATGACAACAAGAAATGACCACTCGGGTCTCAACAGTATCGGCGTGAAAGCCTAACATGATATCTAGCATGTTTTTACAGCACATTTACTTAATCACATGATAGAAACACGGATATCAACAAGAAAGAGTTATTAAGCGATGCCATGGAATGATCCAGGCCGCAATTCTCACGGTGCACGCCCACACGCCCGTCACTTGGCATTTGTGCCACCTCAATAGTAATCATAGAACACATAGTTCAGGGTTTCGAACCCTCAGAACCAAGTTTGGAAGCGTTACTTACCTCAAACCAAGCGAAACTCTAGCCCGCGACGCCCTTGCCTCTCGATTCGGCCTCCAAATGCCCCGAATCTAACCAAAATCAGTATATTATCATCAATATACGCTAAAAGAACAAAACCCAAGCGAAAACAATCAAATTAACTCAAAAATCCCGAAATTGGCTCAAACCCGGCCCGCGGACCCACGTCTTGGAATCCGATAAAAATCACAAAACTGGAAAAACCATTCGCTCACGAGTCTACCCATATCAAATTCACCAAAAACTGACATCAAATGGCCATCCAAATCTCCAAAATCAACTCTCCAAATTTTCTCCCATTTTCACCCCAAATTCCCAAATTAAATGATAAGAATCAAGACATAATCATGGGATTTAACCAAATTTGAGTGAAGAACACTTACCCCAATCACTCCTCTGAAATTCACCTCCAAAATCACCTTCTCCCGAGCTCTCTAATGAATTTTGAGATTATGGACCAATACCCTCATTTTTTGAACTTAAACATTCTGCCCAGACATTTCCTTAATCGCGATCGCGAAGAATAACTTTGCTACCTCAACATTTTACTCTACGCGACATCGTTACTCCACACGCGAACGCGATGCAGTGGTTCATCTTACTTACACGACCGCGATTGACCCCACACGAACGCGAAGGGTAACACCAGCTTTCCTCTGCCGCCTTACTTCTCATAGGCGAACACGGCCTGGCCCACGCGTTCGCATTGCACAACCTGACTGACCTATGTGATCGCGTCCTATTCTCTGCAATCGCAAAGAGTTAACCCAGCTGGCCTTCCATTTGCCCTATGCGATCGCGATCGCGATGATGAAAACACCAGTTGCAGAACACCAGCAAACCAGCAAACTCATTAAGTCCAAAAATGACCCGCTGAGCATCCGAAACACACCCGAGGTCGTCGGAACCTAAACCAAACATGCCAACACATCCCATAACATCATTCAAACTTAGTCGAACCTTCGAATCACTCAAAACAACATCAAAATATCAAATCAACCTCGGATTCAAGCTTAAGAACATTTAAATTTTCAAATTCCACAAATAACGCCGAAACCTATCAAACCTCGTCCGAATGACCTGAAATTTTGCACACACTTCACAAATGATACTACGAACTTACTCCAACTTCCGGAATTCCGTTCCGACCCCGATATCAAAATTTTCACTCCTGACCGGAAACTCCAAATTTTCAATTTTGCCAATTCAAGCCTAAGTCTACCACGGACCTCCAAATCACATTCCGGATGCGCCTCCAAGTCCAAAATCACCTAACGGATCTAACCCAATCATAAAAAATCCAAATTCGAGATCGAATACTAAAAAGTCAAAACTTGGTCAAACCTTTCATATTTAAAGCTTCAAGTGAGAATTATTCTTCCAAATCTATTCCGATTATCCTGAAAACCAAAACCGACGATTTACATAAGTCATAATACATCATACGGGGCTAGTCATGCCCGAAAACTGGCGAGCGAAGTGCAAATGCTCAAAACAATCGATCGGATCGTTACAGTTATAGTAGCTCTTTCAGAGCCTTCAATTAGATTACTACTACCAGAAATTGTAGTAATATTTGCCTTACACATACTTAAATGAGAGAAATATTTCTTCTCTCTGAATATTGTATGTGTCGTACATAAATCAACTAAACAAATAGTTTTACAATTAAACTTTGATCCAACTTTGCTTTGTGAGATATCCATGTTTGTTTTCCATGGTTTGACATACAAAAAAATTATTTTATTATTAGAGATATAGATATTCCAAACAGTTGCTACACGGGAAGAGAAAAGTTGAAATAATGAATACAAAAATAAACAAAATGTGACGCATGGGCCATAAATTGAACGAAATGCTTTGATTTGTTGTATTAAGTACTATCATGTTACTACTGCTCTAATAGTGTTTAGCTAAAAAGCTTTTGGAAAAACTGAAAAGAAAATAAATCAACACCTTTTGAAAACAAATATCGTAAATCATAACTAGTATACTACTGTATCAAACTTGTTTAGTAGTGCAACTAAGCATTTTAATGGTAAAAGAACGAAAGCATCTTATTACACTTTTGACTTATTAGATGAGAACATTGTCTCAGGAGGTTCGGGGTTCCTATGCACTAGCTACGTTATAAATGTTAATCTCCTGTAAAGGTATCATAAGAAATATTTTAAATGCAGAAAACACGGCCTCAAATTCTAATGAAAACACCCCTTCTCGCCTTTGCATCTCAGAAAAGAATTAACTTTTTGGGAATATTTGTCTTGTATCTTTTTACAATCCCCATGAATAAAATTATAAAAGTTCCTCACTGTAATAGCTCTAGGACTTAGTTGCCTAATGTAAGATAAAGATTCGCATGACGAAGAAGACGAAGTAACACATTGTTTAAAACAAACACTTGAAATATATTTAATCAAAAAGAACTAACACGATTTCATAAATAAATAATACTAATTGATACTAATGACTACTCATGTAAAGAACCGTGATTACATGATGTTTATTAGCTATTACGAATACGCAAAAAAAAATCAAATTATTCAATCATCTTTAACCACGGATCTATCACCGATCAGGTGGTCTATTTTTTCATTAGGGTGCTTAAAGAAGTCTGTCACATCCAAGTGGGTGATATCAAAATCATTGTTAGAGACAAAATTGGCTTCAGGACCTTTGTTCTTTAGAGATGCTTGATAAAGCTCAACCAAATGTCTTGGTACACGATAAATATTTGCCCAATGCCCTTTTCCACTGCAACGATAACATTCAGTTTCTGAACCATTTGCATTTGACTTCTCATCTTTCCCTTTCCACTTTTGGTGGTTATTTTTCTTTAGGGGGTGATTAACACCAGGAAAATTTCTTCCTTGTCCACGGCCACGACCATGACCACGACCACGAATAGGGCCACGGCCTTTTCCATGCTTAGCATAATGAGAATACACCTCATCCACTTCAGGCAATGGTGTAGACCTAGTGGGTCGATTTTCGTGATTTCTCATGAGCAAGTCATTATTTCGTTCAGCCACAAGGAGAAGAGAAATCAACTTAGAGTACTTCTTGAAACCTTTTTCTAGATACTGCTGTTGCAAGACCATATTGGAGGCATGAAACGTTATGAATGTTTATTCAAGCATATCATAGTCAGTGATAGTATCTCCACAGAGTTTCAATTCAGAAGTAATTCTGAACATTGCAGAATTATATTCAGAAACAGACTTAAAGTCTTGGAGCCTCAGATGAGCCCAATCATATCGTGCTTGTGGAAGAGTGACCAACTTTAAGTTGTCATATCTTTCCTTTAAGCCATTCTACAAAACAAGTGGATCTTTGACTGTGAGATATTCTATTTTCAACCCTTTATCAACGTGATGACGCAAGAAAATCAGGGCCTTAGCACAGTCTTGGGTAGATGCTTTATTTTTGTCTTTAATGGTGTCTCCAAAACCCATTGCATCTAAATAGATTTCAGCATCCAACACCCACGTCATATAGTTCTTGCCCGAAATTTCAAGGGCAACGAGCTTTCTTTTCATAATGTCAGTCATAATTAAAAAGAGGAGAAAAATTATACTTTAATCTTCTCAAAGAGCTTCTTGAGACGGTAGAGTCTCGTGCTGATAACGTGTAATAAAACAATAAAAGAAGAAGAACAATATTGCAGAGAAAGAGAGAGTGAATTCTTATTGAATTTTTGGGATGAATTACAATGGAATAGAACTTTCTATTTATAGGGAGAGAGTGACTCAACCACCAAGTAATAAACCCTAAAATTTCTCTAAATATAAACATTCACTATAAATAAAATTTTATTTATAATAAATTTATAATTTTTCTTTAAAGATCCATGGGCTTACGTCCATGTCTTAAAGCTTACACCTCGCTCCATATCAAGTAAAACATCATACCTTATGCCCCGCCCTTTAAAACACTGTATTAAATTCAATTACTAAGAAATATATATTGAGGAGGAGGTAGTTTATTTGTAAAGCAACTCTTTTTTGCTTTTGGTGGTGTCATGAAAATTGGGGGACCTCAAAGTTTGTACTTTCTCACTTTTTCTTTTTCTCTCCTTTTTTTTTTTTTTTTTTTTTTTTTTTTGGCCCTTCTTTTTAATGGGAAGTCAGAGGCTTATTCCAGAGATTGTAGTCATCAAAGGAAGTTGCCCCTAGTGGGAATCGCTGTCAGGATTTTGTCTTACCATAGTCACCCTTGCCTTGGACTTCTTTTACATATATGCCACTGATCATTAAATTCCTTATTCTTGCATTCTTAATTTAAAAAACGAAAATGGTCAAATATATTCCTTTACTATAACAAATTATTTAAACTTACCGTTTGTTATACTATCAATTATACTTTAAGTTTAAATTTACCCTTAATTTTAAGGGAGGGACTCGTGGCGGCTCAGGAACAAAAAATCTAAACCAAAATTTTAAATTACCCGATTCAATTATAACCCTGTGCCTATTTTTTTACCCAACCCAATTCCCCCCACTTAATATAAACCCTCGTTATTAAAAATAAAATTAAAAGAAAAACCTACAGCTTCAATACGAGTTCTCAGTTGAAAGCTTTAAAAAAAGATTCGATAATTTTGACATTTTTCAAATTGGGATTCTTTGTTTTAGCGACAGTTAATATTTTTTAACAATCTTTTGATTGAGTTTCTTTCTTTGAACGATAAAAGTTGATATTTTCAGCAATCTTTTAATTGAAATTTCTTTGTTGTTGGCGTATGAAGGCAGGATTGAGCACAAATCATCTGAAATTATAACACCTGAGGCTGCAAATGTATTGAACCATTCGATAGTAGAAGGAAGTTCGCCGGAATCATGGACAAACGACGCCGTTGCATGTGGCAGCGACGTTGTTAGCTTCTGCTTCGGGATTTCACCGGCAAGCTTGTATGCGCTCACACCCCAATTCCTCTCATTGTAACCATCATAGTAATGTTAATTTGACAACCCTTGCCGGAATTAGTCCTCGGATTTGTGCTAGTCCGACACAAATGCCGAATTCATTATTATGTATTTGAATCCACAGTTGCTACAGTAGGTGGTACCGGGCAATGGGGGAATATAAGGAATGAGGAAGTGAAGAAGATTAGGAAGAGGAACTTTGAAAGACGAAGAAGATGGATCAGAACTTTACATTAATTTAAGGAGAAAAGGAGGTTGTGATGGCGGAAGAGGAGTTGTGGCAGCAGTATGATCTGGTACAAATCCTTAATTGGGTAATGGGTAAAAATTAGGCTGAAGGAGCGGGTCGAGTAACGGGTGAAATTAGGGTGAGTTTAAACTTGTAATTGAATCAGATATTTTAATATTGGGGTTTGGACTTTTTTGTTTCTGAGCCGCCACGTGTTCTTCCGTTAAAATTATGGGTAACTTTAAATTAAAGTATAACAGTGGGGGCACGCACGTGTCCTTCCGTTAAAATTATGAGTAACTTTAAATTAAAGTATAAGGGGTTATTTGGTTGGAATACGATTTATATTGGTATAAGTTATGCCGGTATAAGTTATATTGGGATAAATTATGCTAAGATTAGTTATGCTGGGATTGTTGTTTATTCATTGTTTGATATATTGTATTAAAACTGATAATTGCATAATTTTTAAGAAGAAGGTATAAGTTATACCGGTGCTAATTACCCCACCTTCTATAAGGTATAAGTTATCTCAGTATTAAAATTAACACCAAGATAACTTATATCTGGTTTGCTAATCAAACAAAGTATTAATATGGTATTAAATTTTTATACCACCCTTATACCTTCTTATATCTCATACCAAACGACCCCTAACAGTAGGGGCTCAAACGCCTTGATAGTATAACGGGAGGTAAGTTTAAATAATTTCTAATAATAAAGGGATATGTTTGACCCTTTTTTGTTTTTAAAAAGATACAACAGCGTAAGCAATATGTACTTTGCTATGCTTTAATAATCAGTATTAGTACTCGCGCGATGCGCGGACACAACTTATGTCGGATTGTGATTTGGATTATTTGAATTATGTATAAATAACTTTAATATATAAACCTTCCAGATAAAATTTATAGATAATCATTAGATATTAATTAAGAAGTAAGACAAGAAACCATTTTGCAAATCTCTTAGTTGATAACTTGTTTTCTTTTTCTATATTTATATAATCCAACTGGTTAATTTTAGTACTTGAATTTCGTTTCATTATCAATTTAAAAAAAATCCTAAATATGTCATGTGGTGTTTTGTCTCGTTTGAACATATTAGATCATATTATTTTAATAAAATTTTTAGTATCATTTTATTTTTTATCTCAAGCTCCAATAAGTCTTATTCTTTTAAAATTTACACATTTTTTTTGTTCTTTGCTTATAATTATTATATTATTTATTATTTAATATTATTATACTTTCATATGATTTTTNAATTTTTTCCGGGTTACTAATTGACTTACTATCTTATTTATTATCCTTTTAATAATTATAGATAAATATTATTTTTTATTCTTGAAATTTAATATATTTTACGCTTTTATTCTCTTATTCGAAAATATTTTACTATTTAAATTTATTAGTATTATTTTTTAATATTATTCAATTATTTACTATGTTTTATTTTAAAATAATTTAAAGTAAAAATATTCTCACACTATCTCTATTTTTTTCTTTATACAGTCTATTCCCTACTAAGAAATTTTTAATTAATTTTATATTAATATTTTACCTGTAACCAAAATAATATCATATTTTACTTTAAATTATAACTTTGATTAGCCTAAAATATTAATATACAAGTTCTTTGATTATTATATTCCAAATCTAATGAGTTTTTCTTATATTTATTTTTTGTATTACATGCAATAAATTTTCTTTCCTTTTAGTTTCAAGATACAAAATTTGATTTTTTTGTTTTCGTTAAAAAATTACTTATATTAGATATTTATTTTATATTTTTTAAAATTTAATTCTATATCTAGCAAGACTTTAATTTTTGGTGGTCCTATCCATAGTTTGAAGATTCTCATCATAATATTAAGAACTTTCTAACATTAAGTAAAATAGTCTTTTCCTTTCATTTCTAATATTAAATTTTTAATTATTTTTTTACTTTTGCTATTATGTTATCAGATATATGTATTATCACAGTTTCATATGGCGCTTTATTAAGTTGCCACTTTATTTAATATAATTATCCATTACTATCGTTTAATATAATATAGATAAATCTAGAATTCTTTTAATCTTAAAATAAGTATTTATTTTATTTTAAAAACATTGCTTGAATTCTTGAGTTATTTAAATTTATCAATAGTATTTTTAAGTATTTTATTTTACTTTATTTTATTTTATAAACTAATTCTTAGCATAAATATTCTCACACTATTTCTAATTTATTCTTAATATTTTCTTTATATATTTTAAGAAGAATTTTTTTATCTTCTAAAAGTTATATCCTTCTAATTTTTAATTGGACTGCATTTTTAAAAATTATCTTATGCTTTCAATAATTGCACTCAATTTAGATATTAATCTAAAAATTAATTTCTTATTTCTTGGAACACATTATATCTAATGATAATATTTTCACTATCATTTTATTTTTTTATGTACTATTTTAAAAATAATAAAATTATGAAATGAAAGAAAACAGATCAAGTGGTTAGTAAATAATTATATTTGGAAAGCTATCAAAATTTATTTACTATAAGAATGTGTGTCAATTTTAATTGATTTCTACCATAAATTAAATTTGAGCAAATCTAAGTTGTTTTAATCCTTATTAAATTGAAAAATCTATTTAGATTATGTCTTAAAACTGATAAGTGACATTTTCTCAATACGTCACTTGGCTTAATATCATGCATCACTACCCTACTTTTAATATAATATAATATAGATAGAAGATATAGATATTTTTTTTCTTATCTTATAAGTAATTGTATAATTTATGTAAGATGCTATTTTACCGGTTGATTTTTTTTTTTTTAATTTTTGAAGTCAATAAATCTTTAATACCTTAAGTAAATTTTAATTTTATTTCATATTTTAACTTACTCCAAAAGTATAAATAGTCATAAGTTATCTCAATTTATGTCTTTCTATATTTT